CCCCTCTAACCTATGGTTCTCTAACCATAAAGGCTGCTGTGTAATTTGCCCCCTGACTAAGCATTTAAAGAATTTAGGGGAAGCATTTAAATAATCCTAAGAATGCAGAATCGAATCGAATCGAATTTTATTGGGAATCGAATCGAACCGTGTTGAATCGTTCTGAATTTGCAAAAATCGTTCTTGAATCGAATCGAAAACCTATGAATCGTGAATCGAATCGATTCGCCCTAATTAGTAACAATGTGCAGATTTGACTTACTTCAGTGTTTGCAGTTTACAGAGAGGATTCTCCAGTGCAGCTGAAAGCAACTTCATCCCTTTGTCACCCAATTCATTCCTGTCCAGATTCAGTTCTTTCAGGTGTGAGGGATTTGATTTTAGAGCTGAAGCCAGATCAGCACAGCCTTTGTCTGTGACATCACAATTACTCAGCCTGCAGAAAGAATAAGTGATCCACTTTTCACTCTTTCAGATTTTCACTGTGGTAACATCCTCAGCAAAGAAATGACAACCTTCAATTGTTCACTTACGTGAATATCAGGAGTTTTAGTAATAGAGAACAAAAATAAAATTCATATACTATCATTGTCAGTCATGCCATAGTATCTTTCAGAGTGGCTGGTTGGTGCAAGATGGACAGGTTGTAATGCCACTACACTACACACAAGACTGACCTCATGAATATGATTTATATTCTCATAATATTAATATTTATTAACATTAGGGCTGTAAATAAAATAAATAAAAAAATAACATTTTTAACTAAAAGGACAGGATTCTTGAAATAATTGCAATTAATCAAACCTAGCATTAAAAAAAAACATTTATACTTCAAACCCTCAAAGTAATGTAGTCAGTGTGTTTTAATTAATATTTGTTTAATGACATCTTTTTACAAAATACTATCAAAGCTAGTGTCATCAATACCAATTCTGATACCAACTGATCTGATATTAATTTATTTTTTCAGTTTCTGAGGATGAAATGAGTAATTATAGCCATTCAGCATGTTTGAAAATGTTTGAAAGGAATCATTTCTAATTTTAAATAGGACAATTATAATAAATTTCACATTGCGCTTGGGCTTTATTTATTGTTTGTTTAGTGTATTTAGTGTTAGTGATTCTCTGTCATTACTCTATGTGAATGAGAGCTGTCTGTTAATTTTTTCAACATGAAGGCTTATTTTACACATTCATATTCATGCTAAGTAAGCAATAAAATTACTAGTTAAAAACATTTATTATCAATATCTTTCGATACAATATCAGTCTTGCGAATGCTGATACCTCTACATACTACTACCACCGGCATCTTAATTTTTGAAACAAACATGTTACTAATAGCCTAAGAATCCAGATGGAGACTACAATTTGCAGGCATCCTATATATGCAACCTTATAGCTTATTGGAAAAACATGCCAGTGGTGACATTCTGGCAAATAATATTATGATATTTTCAAAGTGAAATGTACAGTGAGTGCTGCTAAATGTGTGTTCAGTTTTATCTGAAACAGATGAACATGAATCCAAGAATGTTTTATTATGTGGGTTGTTGTATGTTTCATGGCAGTTCAGAAATGAAATATCCAATTAATGCCAATTAATGCTCTAGCGCATTTGAAGATACCACTCCCTTCCTTAAACCTAACCTAGTGTTAACCAAAGCAAAAAGGAAATATGAACGCATTTGTTGAGGCAACCATGCCAACCATGTTTTAACAAGTCTTGGGCTCTTTTCTCAAGTGTCGTGGGTCATGCTTGACTCATACCTAAGCGCTCCACAAAAGTGCAACCCTGTACCAAGTGAGCTTCCGAGCAAGTTACTAAATCAGAAAAGTTGTACATGTTATTGCTGGTTATGTGATGCAAATATCAAAATGTTACAGTTTAAAAATAGCAATTAATTACTCTTTAAACAGTGTACTTCTTTTCCTTAAAAATAATAATACATCAGTAAATATATGTGCAAACATTGTAATTTACTAATTATAGCACTTTCATTTCCACGGTTATTCAAACAGTGAATACAGAAAGCGAGCAAAGAACATTATCAAAGAACATTATCACTGTCTAGTACAAGTTTAAGCGCTCTCAAAACAACTCCCGCTATAATTAATGAAGCTGTCTACACTGTGAAATTAATCTCTTACTTACATCATACATACTGCACTTTGTTGTTTCTGATGAGAGAATTCACGAGAGAGCAGAATTCAGTCAGTGAACGTGCGCACTGAAGAAAACTCAGTCATTTCAGCGATGACTCATCAGAACGCCTCCGATTGGTCATTGCATTCATGTGAAACAGCTACTCTGGTGGCGCCAATCTACAATCTTTTTGGGTGACTGCAGCGGGTGCTGCATTTAATTTTCTTTCACTTCATGAACTATTGTGAATTTACATTATGCATTTAGATTAATAGTGCCCACTGCAAAATCACACTAGGGGTGGCCACAGGGGTGGCCAGAGTTTATACAGTGGTGGCCGTGGCCACCCCTTGGGGGCGCCCCTGCTTGGAAGTAAAAGCAGAACAGAGACAGTTGGAGAGTGTGGAGAACTAGTGACAGTCCCTTTTTGTGTTGCTGTTGTTGTAACCTTTATAAGAGCTTAACTTTATATTTCCTTTTAAAGCTTTCTACGTAACACAGACTAGTTTGTATTAGTGAATTGTTTTGTGCAACTTAATTTACTAATTTGATTCCTTTTGAATGGAAGCTGTAGGGATGTACTTGCCATTTTTATTTGTTTAATATACTTGTTTTGCTGTTTTTGACTAGGTAGGAAGGTAGCATATTCTATTAAGTATTCTATTAACTTTATTTCTTTTGTTAGCTTATGAAATGTCATTGTTTTGGTAGCTATCTTATGTTAGCCTTTACCATTCCTAAATTACTTTTTGCTTCCTTATGTTAACACATTTCATTATGTTCTTTGCATTAACAATGATGTTGTGTTTGAATTAGCAGAGGGGAACTCCATTACCCACCATTTTCTTTATTACTCCTCCCTAACACTAGACTGGGGAGGAACGTAAATGTAAAAAAAAATAAAAAAATAAAAAAATAAATAATAATAAAAAAGAATATTAAAATCCTAAAAAGTTTGAACCATTCTGTACTTACTTGAGAGTCTCTATTTTACAGTGAGGATGTGCGAGTCCAGCAGAAAGAAGTCGCAATCCGGCATCTCCAAGTTTATTGCCTGATAGGTCAAGCTCTCTCAGAAGTGAGGCAGATAATTTCAGAACTAATGCCAGAGTTGTACAGCTGACATTGGTCATCTCACAATACATAAGCCTGGAAATAAAGGCAACTACAAAATAATTGCACAGTTCAGAGTATGAACAAATTGATCATGTACAAACCCACTGCTAAACAAAACAAACATTCACTAAACAAACTAAACTTTCTCTGTAACCTATCTCTGTCCACCTGTGATCAGGATGTTATGAACACGGGCTGGATGGGTATTGGTTATTTTAGTGCCTGTTCTCTAAGTAGTGCAGGGTTGTGGGGTAGTTCAATACTCTGTTTCCTTTCTGTCAGTCACATTTAACATTATATCGATACTGATATAAGTGGTCTCACTTGGGTGCCCCAATCACCTCTGAGTACTAGAAAAACTTACAATGAAGGAAGGAGGGTGAGATTTGCATGCTGAGCCACTCCCCCCTAAAATACGTGTAAATAAGCTGGCCAGCGTGCCTCATTCAAATTTTTGCTTCGGAGTCAAATGTTTATGAGCACTCTTTTTTCCAATCCCTCAAAAAAGAAAAGTATAGAGAATGTCTTAGGTGTGTTACTATGGTGCATTCAGTGGTGTGTTGCCCCGTTTTGCACAGATAAGCACAGTGACTCATACCTGGGCGCTTCAGCAAAAGAGTAGTTTCTCTAAATAAGCAAGCACGGGCAGCGAGTGTCTTTTTAAAAATGCCTTCTGTCCATGTTTTTCTGGATACGGTCATTTCCTGGCATTGTTCGATGGCCATGATCACTGCCTCTCGTGCCTGGGCCATGAGCATGATGAGGAGGCTTTCATTGATGGTTTATGTTCTCATTGTACATCTACAACTGCGACTCTCCTTCCTTATCAGTGGGGGAGTACCCTCAGCCGCTATCGGGCCCTGTTCCTCTGCACAGCCAGTTAAGGGTTGCACTACACTCACTGCCTCTACTTAGAGACCCGATGCTTCCCGAGTTGGGCATCAACGCTCCTCCTCAATCCGCAGGTATGTCTATGACAGAGTCAGGGAACCTGGCTAGCACTTTCCAGCCTGTTCCACTTGCTCATTTGGACAAACAAACTCGGCTACATGATTCAGTTCGCCAGGCGGATGAACACCCCAGGTTCAGTGGCATCCTTTTCACCTCAGCGGAGGACAAAGACACCCCTGTCCTGCAGGTGGAGATTGCGGTCCTCTTGGTGACGCACACAATAAAGCAGGGGTTCTACAGCCCCTACGTCATCTTACCCAAGAAAAGCAATGGGTTATGGCCAATCTGGGATCTGCGAATCTTAAATTGGGTCCTGCACATAGACTGTATAAAAACATGGACATAGTGTCTGTGACGTCACCCGTAGGTTTCTGAAGAGTGTATTTGAAGCTCAAAGTTGGCGGAGCCGGCCGTCGCCATCTTGGCAGCGCGTCACCGCACGTCACTCCCGGATAATCGAAAATGGGCAAAGAGGCGAGAGCTGGTTGCTGAAACCACACCCACCTAGCTCGATGGTGGTGACAGCAGCACCAATCCACCTGTCACTCAAGTGGCCACTCCCTTAATTATACAGAAATTTAAGGCTTAATATAATTTAAACTGATGAGTTATAAAAAAAATTCACCCCCCTCACAGTTGTCATGAAGGGCAAAATTAGCTATATAGACCAAAACCACTTTTTGTACCAGGCTGTGAACATATTTTTTTTCTGCTGTAAATTTGGCAATTTTAACATGGGGAGTCTATGTGACTGACTCCCTTTTGGAGCCAGTCGATGAACTGCAGTTTTAGTCACATCTGTGTTGGTTTCACGAGGGAGACCGGAAGGTTGCCTCTTGGTCCTGCACAAGCATCGGGCCCTCTTCAAGATGTTTATGCAGAAACGCATTCTTACATGTGTTCGCCCAGAATGTTGGTTTGCAGCGATCGACCAGAAGGATGCGTCTTCCACGTCTTCATTTGGACAACACTGCGATGTTTGCATACATCAACTGCCAAGGCAGAGTTAGCTCACGTTGCATGTTGCAACTTGTCTGCCATCTCCTCCTCTGGAGTCAGCAGTGGCACAGGTCGCTAAGCACCATTCACGTTCCGGGCGAGCTCAATCATGCAGCCGATGCGCTTAACAGCTTATGGTCCCAGGAAAATGGAGACTGCATCCCCAGGTGGTCCTGATTTGCAGTTGATTCGGGAAAGCCCAGATAGACCTGTTTGCTTCCCAGAAATCCTCCCATTGCCCACTGTTTTACTCCCTGCCCAAGGCCCATCCACAGCCTGTGCATTTGTGTGGACCACACGCAGTGCTTTAGAAGCTCTGAACAGCTTTTGTCTGCTTTAGAGATCAGCAGAAGGCAAAGCCTTTCTCTGGATAGCGGATGACATCGCCTTGGCATACCAGAACCAAGTCATGCCTATAGAGGTGATGGCTAAATCTACTGGGAGTGTTTCCTTCTCCTGGGCTTTTGGCCCATGGCACCTTACTGGCAGACATTTGCAGAGATGTGGCCTGGACAACACCTAACACCTTTGCGAGATTTATATTGAGCAGCTGGTCTTGGGTGTAGGGAAAAAAGAAACAGCAGCTAACAACTTCCCTTGGGGTAACCACCTGCTGAATGCCAGGTCTTGTCTCGGCTCCTCAGCACAAACCTTAGTGAGTGAGACACGCTGGCCAGCTTATATACCTGTATGTCCGGGGGAGTGGCACAGCATGCAAATCTCACTTGCCAATCTTCCGTTCCCTCCATCTTGTGTTTTGTATGAATGGACAGGTGACCTGGATTTTGTTTCCCCTAGAATTCTGAAATAAATACCTTTGCTACCCTATCTATTTTGTGATTGCCCTTTTTGTTGCAGTTACGAGCCAAAATGTATAACTTGGGTTATTTAATAAAATTATTTGGGATTTTCACAGCACCTCTTTCTTATAATTGGAGAGAAGACTATTAGATAAACTGTATACTGCTATATGTTGTTGATTTCTTTTTTCTCTTGATTGTGCTATTCATACAATATTCATGGTAGATTTCCAAATAAATTGTTAATTGATTATTTATTATAATATTACATGAGGGGCAGTTAAGCTTAGTGCCCATTGTACTATATACAGTCAAACCAAAAATTATTCAGACACCTTCAACATTTCTCACATCCTCACAGTTTATGCACTATAGTTTAGAAAATTTTAATAAAATATGACAAGAACTCAGTGTTAAACTGTGTCAGAACAAATTCATCTTGATAATCACAAATGAATTAGTCAAACTAAAATTTATTCCGACACCTTCAACATTTCTCACATTATCACAGTTTTTTCGCTATAGTTTAGAATATGGTAATAAAATATGACAAGAACTCTGTTAAACTGTGTCAGAACAAGTTCAGCTTGATAATGTCAGATAACTTTGATAGAAAGGTATGTAACAAAACATGGTCAGGTCAAAGTGTCAAATCAAATTTTTTAAATCAATTTTACTTGTAGTCCACTGTATGAAGAATTTTGGGGTATAATTTGTCACAGTTCACTTTATTTTGCTATCCTCACTTACATAAATGAACGATAGTGTCCTGCACCCACTAGTAAAAAAATATCAAAAATTATATCTGGTGTCTGAATAATTTTTGGTTTGACTGTAGAATTAGTCATGTTGAAGCTAAATAAAGTAGTTCCCTTATCCAGCGTTCACTCTATATTGCGAGAATTGCACAATTGACTCCCATAGTATTTTTTTCCTAGTATGGAAATCAATGGTGCCCCAAAGCTGTTTGGCCTCAAACATCCTTAAAAATATCTTCCTTTGTATTCAGCTGAACAAAGAAATGTTTACAGGTTTGGAACAACTGTTTGTTCTGTTTCTTCATGTCAGACAGACTGGATGATGATGAGATCAGATCTCTGTGTGGAGCACTGGCTGTTGTCAGACTCCTTGTGCAAACAAAAATCTCACTGGATTAATAATTAGTTCTGGCATGAAACTCTGATGGCGCAGTCAGATAGGTCTAACTCAATCTGACGTAATGACATCATCACATGGCACAGCTGATTGGTTCTCTTCTGTATCGGTAGCCAATGAGCTCGCTGCTCAACATTCAAGTCACTGATGCTCCAAAAGGAAACACGATGCATTAAGAGCCGGGGGCGAATTTTTTTTATTTGAAGATCAAGGTCAATTGTACTTGATTTGTCTTCCGGGAAACATGCAAGTATCTTCTGTTGCTTCCGAAGGGCAGTACTAAATGGGAAAAAAT